CTTGGATGGGGTGTAAAAGTTTTGTTGGTTGTCGGAATGTACAGTTCACTTTTTTTAGTGTTTTGTTGTTCTGAATATAGTCAGTACAATAATATAGGGTTAGGGTTGCATGATCTAGTTTGTAATATTGTATTGTTGCATTATTGTTGTAAGTGCTTGTGACTTTTCCAAAGATTTTAGATGTTGTGATAATCCAGATAGATTTGTTTGTTAAGATACTTCTGAAAATAAATAGATTAGAATATACTAGGTTTGTAGAAGGGTTAGCATTGTTTTCAATCAAGCTTTGGACTATTTGGAACCATTTAGAGATTTGGCCTTGTAGTATTTTGTTAATATTGTGATGAATTTGTTTTTATTCAAGTGTAAGATTGTTGTATATATTAAGGAATTGTTCAATGAATCCTATTTTGTGTTTGTTAAGGTTGGTTTTAATGGATTGGGCCTATTTGAGTTGGTTGATTATTGTGTTAATTAATGTGCCAGAGGTGTTGAGAGAAATTGGCTAGTTGTTAGCATGTCGAGTAAATATTATATTTAGGCTATATAAAGTTAGGATTAATTGGGCAGTATGTGTTCAGTTTTCGTGAGATGGAAAGACTGGGTTTTTGATTAGGATTGATAAGTTAGTATGTGCTGCATTTTGAAGTTGCTGGAGTCTGATTTTGAAAGATAACTATTTGAAGTTAGATAAGTTTAAGGTGTGGTCTAAGGTTTAGATGTGTTGTTGTTGTTGTATTTGAGTTAGTGTTTTTAGAGCATAGATATCGGGGTAGTGTATAGTTGAGTTTGGGACTAATCTTGCCAGATATGCTTTGTGTTTTACTAAGGCTGTATATTGATTTGTTAATTTAAGGCATTAAGTTGGATGCAGATATATGCATTGTAATTGATATGCTGTGCGAGTCAGTATAACATTATTGATAATATAGACTGCTTGTTTTGGTGTTATTTTAGCATAGCATAGTCTATTGATACTAGTTTTTATCTTTTTTAGAATGTGCTTTTGTACTGGTTTCTGTAAGAGATCCCGTGAAAACTATGTTCTCAAGTGTCAAAAGATTTCTTTTAGTTGTGTATTGTGTATAGTGTTGCCCAGAAAGTCAATTGAGAAGTTGGAGTTGTTATCATTAGTTATTAATATGAACTTGTTTGGGTTGACTGTGATATTGATATACTTTAAAAAGGAACTCATGATTTCCAGAATTTTCTGTAGTTGTATTTTGCTTTGAGCTATCCATACTGTATCATCCATGAATGCTATTACTAAGGTGTAGTATTTGATTTCTCCTTTGGGTAAGTTTGTTTGTATTGTATAACCTGAGATTTGTTTGCTAACTCTGGATATAAGGGGGTCATAATAGATATGCTACAGAATAGGAGAGATCGTCTCTCCCTGATCGATCACATCTTGTACATTATAGAGTGCTATAAGTCTATAGTCTATGATTATTTGGTTTTGTCATTGGGTAAATATCAATATAAGTAGGTTGATAGTTGATTATGGTATATGTATTCTTTTTAGTGCCAGGCTGAGGAGTGGAATATGGATAGTGTTATATACTTTGGACATGTTTTGGGCTAAGATTCAATAGGGTTTGTTATTGTTATTGCTATCCTCTAGAATGTGTGAGATTGTTAGTATAGGGTCAAGGATCAAGATATATAATAGTGCAACATTATTGTTGGGTAAGAGAATGTTGTATTTGAGAAGGATTGTGCTGAGATGTTGTGTAATTATTTTTGTAAAAATCTTCCTAGCATGTTTAATTAAGATGATAGGTCTGGTATAGTTGAGATCGTGATTGTATATTTGCTTTTTTGGGATGGGCTGTATATTGGCCTTTAACCATAAGGTTGGAAGAACTTCAAGTTTGAGACATGTATTAAATATATAAAGTAGAGCTATTTTACTATTAGTATTTAGATTTTGTAGTATTTTGTTTGCTATGCCAGTAGGTCCAGAAGCCTTTGCATGTAGTGCACTATTTAGAATGTGGTTTAGTTTCTGCAGATCAATTGGTTTTGTAAAAGGGTTGTAGATTTGTGGAGAAAAATGTGTTTGGAGTTAGTAGAACTCTGCCCATTCTTCTGTATATTAATTGTTAGATGGGTTATATTTTGTCTAATTTTGAAAATAGGTCCAGGTAGCTTGTTTGATGTCCTGTAGTTTGGTTAGAATTTGGTTATTAGTAATCACTTTATCAAAATTTATTCTTTCTGCATGTCACTATTGATTATATATATAGTATTGCTTTGGAAGTCTTCATAGTATCTGTTGATGAAGTATTAGATTTTGTCTTTTTGAGCCTGTGCTGTTTCAATTTTTTTCACATGCCAGATTGTTTTGGTTAACTCTTTGAGTTGTTAAAGTATGATCATTGTGGTGGCTATATTGGGTAATAGGGCTGAGATTGGTTGTGGGAGTAGTAAAAAGGCTTTTTCTACTGTAGCATTAATAGTTTGTAATAAGTATTGTATAGAGGTTGGGGAGTGTGTATTTTTGCAAAGATATATTGCACTATTGATATGCTTTAAGGCAGTATGAAGTTTGGTTGCTTGTAGAGTGTATAGGGATGGGTTCTACCCCAAAATCCCGAAGGCTATTTCCCTGAAAGAACATAATATTGACTAAATTAGCCAGCATTATAACTAATGCTAGCTAACTTTGTTGGTATTGTGTTCTTTTCGAGAATCTGTCTTTTGTGATTTTGGAGTAGAACTATAGGGATAGTAAAGTCCTTGGGTCTGGAAATCTAGGACCTGGTCTTGGGATCTAGTTTTTAAAAACTAGGTCCTAATTTTTGGACCTAGGTCAGTATTGGCAATTTTTAGCACCCAAACAATTTTTTTGGCCTTTGACTAGCCAATTGGCTAACAGCCAATTAGCCAATGGCCAAACTTTGATCAAAGTTTCTAATTTTTACAAAATTAACTAATCATATTTCTAGCCTTGCTATACAAAATATTTGGCCATTTCGGCCAAATAATTTTCTTGCTCTTTTTGGCCATTAGCTATGGCTATTAGCCACAGCCAATGGCTGGCCAAGTGGCCAAGTAACAACACTGTCCTAGATCTATAGATCTGCTATGGGTTTTAATTAGAGATAGTAAAGTCCAGGACTCAAACCCTGGTTTTTAAGTTCTTAAGTTAAAAAATACTTCAAGTTTTTAAGTTCAGAATTTATAACTTTGTCTTTAAGTTCTTAAGTCCTATATTTGGACTTAGGACCAGGTCCTTAAGTCCCGAACTTAAGAACCTGGTCCTAAGTCCAAATATAAAACTTAAGGAGCTGGTCCTAAGTTCCAGACTTAAGGACCTAGTTCTAAGTCCCAGACTTAAGGACCTGGTTTTAAGTCCCAAACTTAAGGGCATGGCTCTAAGTCCTGGACTTAAGAACCTTGTTCTAAGTCCTGGACTTAAGGACCTGGTTCTAAGTCCCAGACTTAAGGGCCTAGTTTATAAGTCCAAATCTAGAACTTTAGAAGATATGATAAATGTTCTAAGCATTTCAGGAAAATACTTGTATAATATTACTAACAGAAAACAAACTTGTCTGTAATCAATAATATTAAACCCCAAAAAAATTTTTTGAACTTTAGATTTAGATAGATAACGTATTTAAATCTATCTTTCTACTTCGATAAAAGATTTATCAAAGTGATACATATTGATTATCTCAGTTTAAATCAATATTTACATATTTTATAAATTTGCCGCAATGCTATTTCTTTATCTGCTATTTGTATTAAAAATAAAGAAAATA